CAATCTTCTGAAGGATAGCACAGCAAAAATGATTGGGGTGAGCGTTGTGGCCCTTTGGTCTCATGTGTATGAATATATACTTACCATGTTATATTTCCACCATTCTCCCTCTTCAGTGTAAATTGTATGTTAAATAAAGCAATTTATTGGCTGTCTGTTAATGATCATGCAGGTTCATCAAAACTGAAGAATTTCGATATCATCATCTTCTTCTTCCTCCTCCATATTACTGTAACCTTAACGGTGTGGCGACATTACGTACATGACATGTATAATTCTTCAGCTGGCGACAATATGTACAGAGAGGGTGAGTGCATATTATCGCCGGCGACAATATGTATGCATATATTTTTTTACATCCGGCGACAATATGTGCAGCGAGGGTAGGTGAATAATGTCGCCAATAACGACAATATGTACAAGACGATATGTACCATCAGAGGAGGGGCTTCAGTAATATTCTGCGGAGTGTAGTGCAGACGTAGGAACCGTTGTCAATTTTGCCAATATATGGTATGCTTTGAAAACAAGCTAACATAAAATTGCTATATTTCTTGAGAAAAGATGATGAAAGATCCCAATATTGATCCCATATTGTGGCCCCAGCCTACCCAGGGTTCCATCATTTGAACTTTTAATCAACTTTATTGCTCTATGTTCCTGATAAATTTTGGAACCACAGCCGAAATAGTATTAATTTTATAGCATCCGTCCACGAGCTTTTTGATTTCCCCTATATGCCTATGTAATTAAAACTTTGATCCCCAATTGTGGCCCACTTTAGCCTGTGGTCATGATTTGAACAAACTTGAATTTATTCTAATTGCAAGCTTTCACATAGTATAATCTTTTCTGTCCTAGTGATTTTTAGATTTTAAAAAGATACCGTTAATTTTTCACTAATTCTTGATTATCTCACCTTGAAGGAAGGTGTGTCCCTTCATTTGTACAAATCTGAAACCCCTTTACCGAAGAATGCTTTGGGTCAAATTTGATTGGTCCAGTTGTTCTGGGGAAAAAAATTTGAAATACGAACAGTTTAGGCACATACACACAACGGACACTGGGCATATATTTTCATTTTTAGAAGGAATATTTATAAGCGAGTTTCTATCAGAAAGGCCCAGTTAACCTCCTGGCTCAAGTAGCTAGAAAATGCTCCTCGCATGAAAATTAAAGAATTTAAAGCAGGATCCTGGCTTGGATTTTGACATAGGTAGTCTTTTTGGAAATGACGTCTCAGCCAAAACGGATGAGACCCAGAAACAAGTCATAATAATCTCCTAAATGCAAATTAATGAACTTTATTTGGATTAAAAAACATTCATGTTATTAACTCAATATTGAATATGGCAGCATGTCCATGTCACACCAATGCCAAATTCAAAGGTATTTCTGAATGTATTTGACATGAACCTCTTGTTGGAGAAAGAAATTCATTAGCTGAAGAAAATCAAACTACATGTAGAATCCCCCCCCCCTTTCCGGATTCCTTGCCAATTTTGTTTGAAGTACAGATCGATATCCTGTTGATACTATTGTAACCCCCACCTCCACCATCCACCACTGGACATATAGGTCCATAGCAATTACGTGAATTGTTACGAAGGGTGTTGGATATGGAAGTTAAATTTCTTTCTGAAAATGTTTTTTTTTAATTTGTTTCTTCTTGTCAAGATGCACTTTTGGCCCTCTCCCCTTTCATCCCCAGTCTGATCTGGTCTGGGCACTTGTCGAAAGGTTCGATTATTGGATACTAAAATTGCACTTTGGTGTCTCTGAAAAAAAGGAAGAGAAAAATAATTTTTTTAAATATTCAAATGATTTTTAATGCAACTTGAGCAAATCAAAGCCTTAAGTTAATCCTCAATTCAAACATTTTATGGCTTTTTTTTCTTTTTTTTTTTTCTTTTTTTTTCTTTTTTTTTTTTTGGTTGTTGTTGTTGTTGTTGTTTCTGTAGTTCTAGATGGTAAGAATTCTGAAACAGTCCTTTATTCTATATTTTGAATACAACTCGGGTCCAACAAAGAATCCAACACAATGACCAAAAGTCAGCATAAGAATTTACGATATCTCATAATTATATTTTATGCACAAACACGGGGCTTGACGGTCATGAGTTTCATAGGGTCTATAATCAATCCAGCCCCACCCGGAAGTCTGGACTCAAGTGACATAAATTTTGAGAATGGTCCAATATAAGGTGACTTTGTGCATCTCAGCTTTACTTAATTCATCAAAAAAGTTTTATACAATAACATGTACATAATATTTTTTGTTATAATGATAATAAATTTATACATATACATGTATTTTTTTCTGCCAGTGATCATGAACTTGCCGAATGTCCTTGTGCCAAGGTCATGTCACATCCTCAGGTCATAAACAATCTTTGAGTCAAGCATGAGTTTCCAATGTTTCTCTATAATTTCAGAAATATAGTCTAGACAAGATTGCATGGACAGAAAGACTGACAAGGTGTTTTCTATAATTAATACTACCCCCCCCCCCCACACACACACTTTGTTTGCCGGGGTATACTTAGAGGAACAAGCATTCTGAGAGTAATGCCTACCGGCAAGTGTAATCTGGTTCCCGTTCAGACTTGAAAATGCCATAATTCCGTCAAAAATCAATGAAGCGGAAAGAAATTCAAACTTGATCTGTAACTCATCAAGGTTAAGTCACATACCAAAAATCAGCTCAATATCTGAAAGCGTTTAGAAAAAAATGCGGAAAACCCTGAAAAATTGAAAAGGCCGTATTTCCGTCAAAAATCAATGAAGCGGAACGAAATGAAAACTTGATCTGTAACTCATCAAGATACACTCACATACCAAAAATCAGCTTAATATCTACAATCGTTTAGAAAAAAGTGCGGAAAACCAAGTGGGACAGACTGACAGACAGACAGAGGGACAGACGGACAGCTAGACAGACAGAGGGACAGACGGACAGCTAGACAGACAGATGGACGGACAGACTCAGAGGAAACCTATAGTCCTCTCCGGTTTCACCGGTAGGGGACTAACAAGCATTAGCAATACTAGTCCCCTACCGGCAAGTGTAATCTAGCTGGTTCCCGTTAAGAATTGAAAATGTCATAATTCCGTCAAAAATCAATGAAGCGGAACGAAATGCAAGTTATAGATCAAGTTTGTATTTCCTTCCGCTTCATTGATTTTTGACGGAATTATGGCATTTTCAATTCTTAATGGGAACCAGATTACACTTGCCGGTAGGGAACTAGTATTGCTAATGCAATACTCTCAGAATGCTTGTTAGTCCCCTACCGATGAAACCAGAGGGGACTATAGGTTTCCTCTGAGTCTGTCCGTCCGTCTGTCAGTCTGTCCCACGTGGTTTTCCACACTTTTTTTCCTAAACGCTTGCAGATTTTGAGCTGATTTTTGGTATGTGAGTGTATCTTGATGAGTTACAGATCAAGTTTGCATTTCGTTCCGCTTCATTGATTTTTGACGGAATTACGGCCTTTTCAATTTTTAGGGGGTTTCCGCAATTTTCTTCTAAACGCTTTCAGATATTGAGCTGATTTTTGGTATGTGACTTTACCTTGATTAGTTATAGATCAAGTTTGCATTTCGTCCTGCTTCATTGATTTTTGACGGAATTATGGCATTTTCAATTCTGAACGGGAACCAGATTACACTTGCCGGTAGGGGACTAGTATTGCTAATGCAATACTCTCAGAATGCTTGTTATTGGAGTAATCACTGCTCTCCTCTGGAAAGATATTCTGAAACTGGACATTGAGCCCCTGTACTTCTGCCTCATCACGATCTTTGTTTCACATTTGTAACCAACATACTCCAGTTAATGGAACTGGCACATATTAAAATCCTAAACTTTTACTCGTGCACCCACTCGAGAATTTCTAGATCCATGCATGAACTTGATATTAATTGATGCTCAGTAAATTTATCAAATAAATATATTTTATCTTAAATATTTTCTCTAGATTAACAATTTCCTTTGACCAAAAATATTGTCACTTTAACTTGTACAACTGTCAAAAAGCTTTAAGGAAGTCCGATCCTCGGGTTCTGAAAATCATCTTTTAAAGTAACTGAAAATGAGCACAAAAATGTCTCTGATTTCACAGAGTAACGTGAATTTACCCATGGTATTTTTTCAAAGGTTATCATTATAGTTAATCATATTATATAGGGAAAATTATCAAATCTCATATATATTTTCAGGAAATGCGAATAAAAACACCATCTGTGCATTTTCTAATTGAAAATTGATCAACAAATATATCTTAGGATAAAAAAAATATAGGAATCCAGGCATTTGGAGAAATTTGCATCTTTTTTATGCTTATACAGTATTTTAGTTTTTCTATTTACTTCAATTGTTATATAATACATAGTGTAAAATGCTTGTGCTATCATTGCTAGACATCACAGATCACGTCTAATTTCATATCATGCTAATAAGCATTGGTATTTAATGCTGGATTAAAGGAAATTCAATTTCTCTAAAAAAATGAATTTATTTTTTTTCTTTTATGTGGTACAAATGTCAACTTTTTACTAAACCATTTCATAGATTTTAAAGAACCTTTAATCATATTGAAATGCATAAAATGAAAATTGTTGCACGAAAATATCTCAACTTCAAGCTTCTTTTTGAGACTTTTTAAATAAATTAATAAATTTAAGAGTTACCCTTCCTGGTTGAGGATCGGATATCCTTATGAATGTCTTAACAATAAATAGATAAATAAATAAATAAATAAATAAATAAATAAATAAATAAATAAATAAATAATCAACTAAATAAAAAAATAAACAGATAAATAAATAAATTGAGTGTAATAGATTTAAATAAATGAAGTTTATTTTTTCATATCGTCTCTGTCGAGGTCAATCAAAACTTCCGTTTCTGACAGTACATCGCTCGTCAATCACAGCTGGTTTCTAGTTTTACACAGTGCTTAAATTCAAATGACCTTTGACATTTTATATCACGTGACAAAAACAGATTGGTAAAACTGGATATGGAGGGAAGCAAATGTACAAAATGAACACGACGAAAAATGAGGAAGTAAATATCGATTAAACCGAGATAAGATGGACGATGGTGTATGGAGACCAGCAAAGGACAATTATGGAGTCGGTAAGTGTATAAAGTTTTTATCACAAGAAATATTCACCATTGACAAGGTTGACCAACGGAGCTGCATGACATGTTTCGTTTGAACCGTGTCAAAAAGGATGTCGCATCCTGTCTGTTGACTGTAGAGATTACGCGCTGTCTTGTCACTTTTTACCACTTGTTAAGTGTGATTTTATGATAATTTTCAAAGTCAAATTTTTCTGCAAATGAATAATTTCAGGGAATCTAGAAAAACTGTAATCCGGAGCTGTCATGAATACAATTTGCAGAATGATAATTAACCTTTAATTTTGAATATAAAATAGATGCATGTTTTAATGATTTAGCACAATAGTGAAATGCATAAACAATGATTATAAGTAATCTAGAAAACTATTCTCTATTGAGAAGTTGATGACTCGTTTTAATACTACTGCATATTTTATCACCAGTAAGCACATAATATTGTCACAGAAACTATTTACTCATACATTTTTTTCAGTTAAATAGAAAAAATGTAAACTAATCTTTCATTTTTAGCTCACCTGAGCCAAAGGCTCAAGTGAGCTTTTCTGATTGAAATTTGTCCGTTGTCTGTCGTCGTTGTTAACTTTTCACTATTTCATCTTCTCAATTTCAACCAAACTTCAGTTGGCACAGAGTATCCATGGGTGAAGGGGATTCAAGTTTGTTCAAATAAAGGGCCACATCCTCTTCAAAGGGGAGATAATTACAAAATTGTGAAAAATTAATGGGATCTTTTAAAAATCTTCTTCTCAAGAACCAATGGGCCAGGAAAAATGAAACTCATTTAGAATCATCCTCAGGTGGTGAAGACTCAAGTTTGTACAAATCATGACCCCTGGGGGTAGGGTGGGGCCACAATGGACAATCAAAGTTTTACATAGGAATATATAGAAAAAATCTTCTTCTTAAAAACAGCAAATCTATGATAAGTCATATTTATATGGAAGCATCCACAGGTAGTGTAGATTCAAATTTGTTCAAATCATGACCCCCGGGGGTAGGGTGGGGCCACAATGGACGATCAAAGTTTTACATAGGAGAACATTAGGAACAATCTTCAAAAATCTTTTTCTCAAGAACAGCAAAGCTATGATTGGTTATATTTATATGAAAGCATCGTAAGGTGGTGTAGATTCAAGTTTGTTCAAATCATGACCCCTGGGGGTAGGGTGGGGCCACAATGAAAGTCAAACTTGTAGAAAAAAAGCCACAGTTAGTCAAAGAAGTATATAAGCATCCTTAGCTAGTGTCGATTCAATTTTGTTCAAATCATAACCCCCCTCCCCCTCCACTACCACTAGTTTAGGGGTAGGTGGAGACCACTTATGCATTTAAGGTTTTCAATACTGAACTGATTTTTGCTTTTTTTCCTAGCCACAGTGCTCAGGTGAGCAATGTGGCCCATGGGCCTCTTGTTAACACTACCAGTCATTGCCCAGAAGAGATTAAGGGATGGCAAAGTGTCCATCATCGGTCATGCAATTAAGTGAAATGTTAGTATACCCCCTGCTCAAAAAAGGAGGGGTATATAGTGATGGGGTGTCTGTCCTTCTGTCTGTAAGTCCCTCTCTCTCTACATCTGTATCACTTGGCATGCCCATCTTTTACCCTCCTAAACCACTGAATAAAAATTTAATAAGACTTTCACTGAATCTTTATTACATAGTGCCATTATGCAACTCCTATTTATTTTTCGTAGCAAAATATAGATTTTGTCATTGTACTCATATGGAAGTTGTTTCATTTTGTGAGCTCAATGTTCATAGTACCTCTAGTTTTAGATTTACTTTAAGTAAAAATAAGTAGGGCTACGGACTAATCAGAGACTTCTTGTTTTCTAAAACTCTGACAATATTTGGTAATGTCACAGAAGAGAATGAGTTATGTTTTATATGTTGACTTAGGTTTATAAGCATCAATAATATTGGTATGACCTCATTTCCAGAGACAATTAAATATTAAGATTTGATAGATGTTGAAGGGGGTCACTTAATTTGCTTGCAAACCTGTATATATGTGAACCAGTTTGTGCAGTTCTCCCTTTTGAAATTAGCAAGAATTATTCCCTCCCCTCCACTTTTCACTAGAGGTGTTTGCATCAATGCCTGTGTCCCACCTTCCAAATTAATTGAACCCCTTTAATAGGTGCCATGGATAGGATGGAAAGGGGTTGAAAGTGTCATTTTCATCTCTTTTAAAACTTGCCATATAAAGTAGAAATAATTCTGTAAATACAACCAATGCTTGTTCAATAATTCTGTAAATACAACCAATGCTTGTTCATAGTTATCCAAGAATGATTCAGATAAATGCATAGTGCTGAGATATATATGATGATAACAACTGTGGTTTAGATTGAATTATAAATTTTGTTTTGAAGTTTGTGTTACTTTTGAAATTTTCCTATTTCATCTCAAATGCCAATAAACAACAGAGAAATTACTTTTATTAAAATTTGTTTACAAATGTAGATTATCACTTGATTTATTTTGTAGCAAATGAATGTCTCAATGTCAGATTTTAATCTTACCTAATTTGATACTATCTGGAACTTTTGATTATGTCATTTGTTACTGTCTGGAACTTTTGATTATGTCATTTGTTACTATCTGGAACTTTTGATTAATGTGTCATTTGTTACTATCTGTAACTTTTGATTATGTTATTTGATACTATGTGGAACTTTTGATTATATCATTTGTTACAATCTGGAACTTTTGATTATGTCATTTGTTACTATCTGGAACTTTTGATTATGTCATTTGTTACTATCTGGAACTTTTGATTATGTCATTTGTTACTATCTGGAACTTTTGATTATGTCATTTGTTACTATCTGGAACTTTTGATTATGTCATTTGATACTATCTGGAACTTTTGATTATGTCATTTGTTACTGTCTGGAACTTTTGATTATGCCATTTGTTACTATCTGGAACTTTTGATTATGTCATTTGTTACTATCTGGAACTTTTGATTATGTCATTTGTTACTATCTGGAACTTTTGATTATGTCATTTGTTACTGTCTGGAACTTTTGATTAGGACACTAGAAATTGACATGGACAAGATTAAGCATCTATAACATAAAAAAAGAAGTCTAACTTAACCTGAATTTATTGGGAGTATTGAGATATTGTTTAGTATAATGTAATCCCAAGGAACACAAATCATGCAGTCATTTATTTCCCATATAAAGTTTTCATAGATTACTAGCTCTACTGGTCAGAGACCAGAAGAGCTTATTTGATAGTAAGGTATCCGTTGTCCATCTGCTTATTTGTTAAAAGTCTTGGGAAATTAGATCACAGCTCTTAAGCCCCTAACCAGCCTTCTTATAGTACCAAAACTGTAAAGTGCATTCTATCCCCAAGTTTGCAAAATGTTACTCCTCCTACAGATTTAGTTCCATTTTGATATAACTTTCTACTAAAGTAGACTCCTCAAAAATATGTGATTCTATTATTGGTTTTGACTTTTATGAGTGGTGTTGCCATGGTTACTAAAAATAGAAATTTCTGTGATATTCTTCAAAAATGCTACTCTTGGTCTTATTTCAGTAAAATTTTCTACAAAAGTAGTCTACGCTAAGATACATCACTTTGCTTATTGGTTTTTGATTTTGGTGAAAGGTATTGCCATGGTTACTAAAAGTAAAAATTTCTGTGAAATTCTTTTAAAATGTCCCCTTCCTACAGTTTTGGACTGATTTCAGTGAAACTTCTGTGAGACTACACTAAGACACATAACTATGTATTGAGTTTATGATTTCAACGAATGGTGTTGCAGTGGTTACTAAAAAAAAAAAGAATTGGGAAATTTTTTAAAAATGTTATTTTTCCTACATATTTGGTCTGATTTAAATGATACTTTTTACACTTGTAAGTAGACTACACAGAGATTCACAATTCTGTTCATTGATTTTTGATTTTGAATGGTGTTGCCTTGGCTACTTACATTAGAAATTTCTGTGAAATTCTTTGGAAAGAGAGACTAAACCAAGCATCATTATTCTATTTATTGCTGTTGTCATCGTTTCAAGTCAGAGCTACCTTTCTCTTCCTTTGTTATAAGTACAAACCAGTAGAGGTACAGTCTCATCAGAGATTTCCCACCAGCACCTATAACAAGTGAATGTCAAAACCTCATGTTGTGTTTACTATTTTTAGAAGACTGCTGTTCAAACTCTTAGCTTAAATCTGTTGTAAAACTCTCACTACCTTTAGAGTAACTGACATGATTTGCAGTCATAGAAAGGAGATTTCTCTTTCCTCTTTCCTTATTTTCTTTTCCTCAATCTAGTCTATGAAGGGGAATTTTTATTGTTTTACATCTACATGAAAGTTCATTTAGGATATATTTTCAATAAACAGCCAAAGAATGTAAAAATGATAAAAAAAACAAATAATTTAGGTGTTTTGACCATTTTTAACATACAGTTTACACATACATGTAGACCACCTTTATATATTAAAACACATAGTTATTATTAAGAGAGCTTAATCTAAGCATGAACAGGTGTGGATGGTATCTTTGACCAGAAATGCATCCTAAATTTTTTAGCCAAAAAGTGGTATAAAGATACTAGGTATATTATTGTTGAACATTTAAGTATTCCTTTCTTTCATAAATATTGAGGTTATATTATTATATGAGGTGTGTTAAGTTTTAGACTAAGCTCTTGTTCCTAGTTGTTCCAGTTACAGGTAACCATATTTATGCAGAATATGGAGTTTTAAAGTGAACAAAATGAAAAAGCGTCTCAATCAGAAAAGATTAAGGGTAATGCAATATGCCTATCATGCAGTTTCAGATCTTAAAATCATACTACTAAAAAGAGAACTTCAAATAGGGTATCCAGTTACACTTCAACTGTAGTGACATGTCTGGTATGAAAATTAATGGTTTGCAGATTGAAATGTTTTAGAACAGTATCTGAACTAAGGCATTTACAATCAACTTTGAGTTTGGGTTTTTCTCAATGCATTTTATGA